CCTAGTTCTGGGGATAACATTTCTGGGGAATTTTTGCAGGTGTTCCACTTTAAATGTTATGAGATAACCATAAAACTAAGGAAATATTTTGGAATTGTAGATCACAGACATTGAACCTAATTAATCATGAGAATGACTTAGTTACAAGCCTTTGTATGTAAACTAGTGTTGTGAAACGCACGTAGATAGATAGATAGATAGATAGATAGATAGATATGAACAGAATGAGATAGTTATAAACAGATAGATTCTTTCTTTTTCACCATCTCAAATACATACGCACTCACATATTTACAAAGAGGACACCATGCACAGGCGGACAGTGCTCTCTCTCTCTCTCTCTCTCTCTATATATATATATATATATATATATATATATATATATATATATATATATATATATATATATATATATATATATATAAAGAATGTGATAGAAAAAATCCCGGAAAAAATCTCCTTAGTTCTGGTGGCATCTGGGAAGTATCTGCAGACCTTCCTGGTTGGCGTAATGATTACCCCAAAATAATATCAAGTAAAGGTCTGCGACCAGATATTGTTCTTCTGTCAAGGGTGAATATATATATATATATATATATATAAACAGAACGTGATATATATGAACAGAATTCAATAAATAGATATAAAAAGTATGAGACAGATATGAACAGAATTAGATAGATAGAGATAGATAGGTATAAAAACAATGAGATAGGTATGAACAGAATGAGGCAGTTAGATGGAGAATAGATAGATAATGAACAGACCGACAGAGATAGAGAGATATGGACATTATCTCTATCTTCCCCCACCAAATATATATACGACTTAAGATTATCGCACAAAATTTCATAACTGAATCAATTAAGATGTCAGATCCTCATACATCGAAAACGACGTGAGTCCATTATTATGCGTTATAATATATATATATATATATATATATATATATATATATATATATATATATGTGTGTGTGTGTGTGTGTGTGTGTGTGGGGTAAAGCTGGAATCTCTCCCATATATATATATATATATATATATATATATATATATATATATATTATTAGATGGAATCTCCCTTGTCTTCAACGTATGAGGTTACAGCATTTCAGTTCTTATAACCGAACAGCGAGACTAGTCGGGCATATTATTTGATTATAGTCGTGATTTCGTATGTAAAACCAAGCACACTTTGGGGAAAACCGTTTACAAGCTCCCTAATCGACCCTCCCCAGTGTTTTCCTTCTTCTACTCTGGTTGCCAGTCCTGGCCGACTGACTGGAATAATTCATTCATTTCTGTAGTGTTTACGTTAATTTAACTCAACTTGGATTCGAACTAGCCACTCATTACTCAATTCGAGCCGATATTCATTACTGCACTGTGCTTCCTCTTACATAAATATATACCACACACACACAAATTCGCTCGCGTGCACACACACACACACACACACACACACACACACACATATATATATATATATATATATATATATATATATATATATATATATATATAATGAAAATAATATAAATTTTAACGAAAATAATATAAATTTTAACGTTCACAGCATTAATTCAAAAGAGGGCTCAATACCCAGAGTAGAGCAATAATTATCTGTTATAATTTTACATACGGACAAAACAACTTACTCGCTACAAAGATGCAATCTTGTTTCGATGCGGCTGCATCTCGACTGGTGAGAACAAAAAATGGTTACCTTTTTTAGTTCTCACCAGTCGAGATGAATCAAGTAAGTTGTATTGTACGTATGTAAAAATCATAATATATATATATATATATATATATATATATATATATATATATATATATATATATCGACTCTCTCGTCGAATTCGACGTATGAGGGTCAAGCAGATCAGTTCCCAGGAAACTGGCAGCCCGACACCAGCATATGAGATTTGGTTATAGTTCTGAAGATTTCGTGCAGGACCATCCACACTTTTTGAAGGGCCAAATACAGAGATCTGGTACACTACGTGCCACAAGGTCACCAAAGGACCCTCCGCAGGTTTTGAATTCAGAGTTTTCCTTATCCTAGACTAGTTACCATCCAAGGCTATATAACTCAGTCTGTCCTGCTATTTACCCATAGCTGGAGGGAGAAGAAGAGGATTCACACCTTTCCCAAGGGTATTAGCATGTAAGTGAATGTAATGGATTCCATTGGAATATATATATACACTAACACTATCACACCTACAATTGTAAAGAATCTATTTAATCTCTACATAAAATGTATTACTAGTACATTTAAAACAATAAAATTTTAATCAATATTAAAGAAAACAATAAGCTAAAACCGGAAGAAGGAATTTTCTCGATCGCTTGTAATAATTGTCACAAAAATACATAGGAGAATCCTCAAGGAATCTAAATAAACGATTATGTGAACACAAAAAAGACATTTTACAAAATAATTCATCAAATATGTCGGTTACCCACTGAAACGAGACTGACCCCAATATAAAAATGCTGCTCTGATCAAGGACAAAACATGTCACTACGACGAAATTGTATAGAGAGTGATTTGATCCCAAGGTCATCTACAGAATATTTGCTCACGAGCTCTTGAAACATTTCACCATTCCTAGCAGAAAGAAAGAAAGAAAGAAAAAGAAAACAATTCTAAATGAAATCGGTTAGATTAAAAAAAGGGAAAAAAAGATAATTCACAGCAGCCTTGGTTCGTGTACATGTGTAGTCACAGCAATATAAAAGATTTCGACCGATGAATTATTTTTTATAGTTGAATATTTTTAGGGAAATACTTTTCAATCATTTACAGAACATTTTTTCTATTTTTGTTTGTACGATATTTTCATAATTGAAAAAAATTCTAATTTGTAAGAAAAATTTACAATTGGAAGAAATATTTAGAATTGAAAAAAAAGATGACACTCACGAACAAACACGTAAACAAAAGCAAAACCTGTGAACGTTCTCGTGTGAAAAACGTAAAATTCATGAACGGATTTAAAAAAGCGCGAAAAAAATTGAAAAAAAATTGGACATAAAAAGTTATTCGAATAACAGACACCTTGAAGAATGGATTTTCCAAGAAACTTCGAAGACGGGGAAACATTTTAAAAAATGGATATTTACAGATAAGTAATTTTTCTATATATTAATAATATATTATTTTTAATATTATTTTAATATTTTTAATCTTGAGGACTATTTGAAAATATCTTCTTTACTTTTGAATTATTATATTCTTAAATCTCATATTCTTACAACACACACACACACACACACACAAAAAAAAAAAAAAAAAAGAAAGAACTTACAAAATGTAATTCAGGCGAAAAAAATCGTCAAGAATCCAAGTTCAGAGTCCAAAGAAAAAAAACATCCGACACGAATAGAATAATAATAACTAAGCAAAGTCCTAAATACGCTAAGTAGAGCAAATCTAACTAAGAACCTAAAGAGCCAGGCAAACCTACGCGGATCGTCAGGGTACGCTAGCCAGCGTACCCTGACTATCTGCGTCAGTGAAATCTAGGTAGGTTTGCCTGGCTCTTTAGGTTCTTAGTTATATATATATATATATATATATATATATATATATATATATATATATATATATATATATATATAAATGAAATGGACAAAGTGCAGCAATTAATTTAATATATTTTTGTTTATACCGTATTTTTTATAGATACAAATATTTAAGTCAATGCACTGTTTATAATAAAGACTAAACATTTACTGGTCTTAATATTATGTCATTTGTTTACGTTAAGATACGCTTCGAGCATTAATTTAAAATTGCTAACCAGAAGCCTCCTCTATAGGTAAATAATATAGCACGTAAGGTTTGAGGGCGATTCCCTGTAGCTTACAGGTTCGATTCCTATCTGAGGACACATATTTTCTTTGAGATTTCTCGGACATTCACTTTGGTAAATGTAGTTGATACTGTTTAGACAGATCATTTACTTAAATATTTGTATCTAGACAAATAACGTATAAACAAATCTCTCTCTCTCTCTCTCTCTATATATATATATATATATATATATATACTTTAATGAAAAACAGGCCACTTTAAGGTACCATTACCATAATTTATTTCACTAAAATCCTTTTTAAAGGACTCCGGATCATCTGGTAACAATTCCAATAACGAAAGAAAAAAAAATAGTACCTTAAAGTGGTCTGTTTTCATTAAATATTAGCTCTGTATTCACATTGAGCTCTCAGGATTCCATCCTCTTTGGAATTACCCATTCGGTTTACCAATTCTTCATAACTTAACTATATATATATATATATATATATATATATATATATATATATATATATATAAAAGTACATCGGTAAACATAGAATAGTGTAAGGTGTCTGTTATTGGCAGTGGCCGTTCGGTATTTATTTAAAATGTGTGATTTAAAAATGTCATGAACCATGTCCTTACTGTTTGAAAGCACGGCGCCGAGGCTTTTATTAACTTAATCTTGCGACTAGCGAAGGATTTGAATATAAGTTAACAGTTTTTAAAAGCGATTCTGTGCTTGTCTTTTTATATAATCCTGCTACGTCCTGAAGAATTAATTCTTTTGGGACCGACTTATAAATTTTTCAAGTAACCAATGACACATTTACGAAAGTTTTAGAACTTAATTGAGAGAATTAATTCAGATTGAAAGAAATTAATGTGTATTTGAAGATGAAGTAGAAATTCCTTATTCGAAAGCCAGCATTTGGTTCGAAACAACAATTTGCCGAGAAGAGTTTTTCCCCGTTGGCCTTTTCGGAGACGGTCCGTCTAAGGGACATCTGCATGTGATTAACTGCTTCCTTGGAAGAAGTGTAAAGATTTAACCTGAGACTTGGGGGGTTAATTAAAAACGCAAAATTAGACTCTGGAGGCTACTGGACACTAGATGACTTTGGAGAAATATTTTTCCAAATAAAACTAGCAGTATTACAGCGACATATCG